TGTTCGTAGGAGTCCGTGTTGTCGGTTGTGCAAACATTTGTGCATAAAACACTGTTGACATTATTCCGTTGCACTAATGGTCACTAATCTCATTTTATTCAAATCAATGTCCAGTTTTTGAAAACATGAAACTGTTTCTTAACACAGGAACTGTTAAAGGAGACACGGCAGGAGTGGGCCAATCGAGTGGTAGAGTTACTCTACAGCATCTTCTGCTTGGACACCCAGCAGATCACCCTCACGCTGCTAGGTACCATACTGCCCAATCTACTCACAGACTCCGCCCACTGGCGCAGCCTGGCAGACCCACCTGGAAAGGCACTGGCCAAGTAAGAGAAGCTTAATACCCTAAGGGCAGCAGTCGCTGTGGCGTTTTTGACTTCCGGTTTTGACTTTTGTCTCTGGATGTCCCCTCAGGCTGTCTGTGTGGTGCGCACTCAGCTCTTACTCCTCTCACCACAAAGGTTCTTTCTCAGCTCGCCAGCGCAAAAGGCAGAGAGAAGATATTGAGGTAAAGAAGCTCTTTAAAAATAAAAATTTTAAAACTTGGTAAAATTAGGAGAACGTGTTTTCTGTAAGAGGACGTGTTTGAGTGTAAAAATACTGACATGATTCCTTTATTATTCCCTGCAGGACTACAACAGCCTCTTTCCCTTGGATGACACTCAACCATCTAAACTCATGCGGCTGCTCAGCTCCAACGAGGATGAACCTGTAGCCCTTTCCAGTCCAGGTTAGGCCCCTTTGTGCCTGGATTTGAATACACCGTCAAATGATAAAGCCTGTGGTTTACAGATGTCTGAGCTGGGGATGATAATGGTGGTAATACCAGAGAGTTTCAGAACTGTAACAGCAAGTTACTTCTAGTAAGCACTTAAAATGCTTTGTGAACTGGTCTTCCTCCTCATTAATTATCCTTCAAGTGCATTGGCTGCCAGCAGGTTCTAACTTGAACGCTGCCATCCAGTGCTTCTTGCTTTGAGCGATTGTGCAGTTAGCATACCCCTTTCACCCTGCTATTCACATGACTTAAAGTAATGAGCATTTATATTAACTGCTATGGAAATTTTCCCTTGTTTAGTTTTACACAGAAACCCCCACACAGGATGTCAAACTTCAGTGTTGCATGACTTAGGAAAAAAATGCTTTGATGTTAAGACTGAAAGTGACACTGGTTTTCTTGCTACGTAAAGTCAATCATTTAGAAACCGTTCATCAACGCCGGATGCCTCACTTTATAGACTTTTTAAAATTTTATTATGAATAAAATACATCTTTTAGCGCAAGGAGAAAGAAACATTTATTTTCCATGTTAAGAAAAAAAATCAGAATTAATTTATTTTGTTAAAAAAAAATCATCTTTTCATTTTTAGTATCATTGAAATGTCTTATTCCAGGAATTATGATTATGATGTAAGATTGCAGTGGAAACCAACCGTCAACGGATCCTTAACTTCCTTTTTCACATCCTCTAGATTTTTAAATGTTTTTTTTTTGTTTGTTTTTTGGGGGGGGAGCATAAAATTTCCTCGAATGACTAAATTAGTAGAACGAAAATGAAACTTGTCAACTCATCCATCACATCTTCCTTGTCTTCCTGCAGGAGACCGGTCTATGAGCAGCTCTCTATCTGCCTCACAGCTCCACACTGTCAACATGAGGGACCCCCTCAACCGAGTCCTGGGTGAGAATCTTGCCAGCATCTCTTTTCTCTCATCCCCATTTCTTTCATAGAAATGTCTAAATTACGATGAACAAATTCAAGAAAAATCCTGAATTAACTAATCAGGGAAACGATTTGATGTGAAACTGGAGAGGCTGGTATGTTGCTGTGATTAAAGCCACAAGATCTCCAATTCTGAAGGCCCAATGGGACCTCATCCAGCCCTTGAATATGTTTGCAAGGCCAAACACAGAGCTAAGACACTCATTATTTTCATGTAAAGTGAATTTTAGTGTGATGTTTGTTTGTTTTTGTTTTTTTTTTCAATCAAAGTCACGCTAAAAGAAATGTCTGACATTACTGAGAATTATATTTTGCATGTTTAAAGTTAGCAAGAATGCTATATGTTATATGAATGTGACTTTTTAAAATTTGCATGATTTAAAAAAATATATATATTAGAAAGAACCTTTTTTTTGCCTCTGCAAAACAACACAATAGATTTTAGACCAAAACGTTGTAATTAAAGTGCAAAAGCTTTAAGCTTTCATTTAAGTTTAACAAAAGTATTACATCAACTGCTTAGGAATTGCAACCATTTTTATTCATAATGCCCATTTTCTGAGGCTTGGAAATAATTGGATATTTACTGAAAAGCAGATTCATGACTAGGTGAGGCCTGTTTCCTCTTTATATCATGACACCCTAACAGTTTATAATATCTGTAGTTGATTCCATGCGTTGAACTTGTATTTGTCTTATCACTGGAGCTTTCACAATGAAGTCCAAAGAGATGCAAGCAGAGAAGACTTTCATTAGACTAACGGAAATCAAAATAAAACTTAGAGAGATGGTGAAGAAAAAAAAAAAAGCATGAAGTGGTCAACTCAGCAAAACCAAACAGTGTTAAAGACCACAGAAGAAAACAAAAGTGCGTGATCACAGAATTATTTCCTTTAAGCATATAACCACATCAAAAACACATTGAGGATGTAGGCGTAGCATTTAAAGGTCTACCATCAAGAGACACCTTCGTCAATGGAAAATTTGTTGATGGTGTGACTGCTGATGGAAGTAGCAGGATGAAGTGTTAAATGCATGGGGCTGTGCTGTCTCTCAGAATCAGCCAAAGTCTGCAAAACTGATTAGTCAGCATTTCACGATGCAAATGGATAATGACCCAAAGCATGCTGAAAAAAACAGCCCAAGAGTTTCTCGAGGCAAAGAAGCGGGATATTCTTCAGCGGCCAAGTCAGTCAACCCAAGTGAGCACTGCAAAGAGACCCACTAATAAGCGGCAATTGAAGGCGCTTGCGGCAATCAGTATAGTTAACTTTATGTTAGTTTGTCCAATTACTTTTGAGCACCTGAAAATGGGGCACCATATATTAAAATGGATGTCATTCCTAAATGTTTAATGCACTACTTGTGTTAAGCTCTTTAAATTCAAAGTGAAAGTCTTCTTTCCAGTCAAGTATTTCAGATTATTTGGCTGAAAATCCACTGTGGTGTTATTAAAAAGGCACAAAAAAGGGTTATCATCCAAACTTTCACGGGCCAAACGATAAACACGACAATGTCAGTGCCCAACAGTGCACTGCAGCTACTACTCATCTTGTCAGTGGTGTTGATATTGGGGATGATTTGATTTGGGATATAAAATAATTCAGCAGGATAGTACTTACCATCTGTTCTCTTTCTTTTAGCCAACCTTTTTCTCCTCATTTCCTCCATCCTTGGCTCAAAGATGGCTGGACCTCACACCCAGTTTGTGCAGAGCTTCATGGAGGAGTGTGTTGAGTGTCTGGAGCAGGGAAGCCGTGGGAGCATCCTGCAGTTCATGCCTTTTACAATGGTGAGTTATGAGCTGTGAGGGGAGAGGCCAGACAGGTGGAGATAAAGGAGGGAGAAGGATGACTGCTTCTTTAGATATTATCGGGAAGGGTTCAGGAATCCTGCTTACAAGTGTTCTACTGCCTTTAAAGACTGAGTGTTCTGATAAGATCAAGAGGGAGTCTGAAGGTCATAGCACAGATGCTTCTTGCATTTGCAAGAGATATTAATCACTCCTACAAGCTTCGAAATGTTAGGGTTGCCACATTTTCAAAACGTGCAGAGTTTGAAATGGAATAAAATGCCAAGAACAAACCAGAATTGATAACAGAAAGGAGAAAAAAAGAGTAATGGACAAAAAATGGTAAATGGCCTGTATTTGTATAGCGCTTTACTAGTCCCTAAGGACCCCAAAGCGCTTTACACATTCAGTCATCCACCCATTCACACACTGGTGATGGCAAGCTACATTGTAGCCACAGCCATCCTGGGGCACACTGACAGGCAAGACAGAGGCAACTTAGCTGATTTAGTGGAACATCTTTTTCTAGTTCTGAGAAAAAGTATTTCTTAATTCTTTTCTTTTGTTCTAGTTACATTTTACAATAAGTGTCCCATGAAAACCAGATCAAGGGTCAGGAACACACCCACTCAAAAAAGAATGACAATTAGCCTTGAGCAACACAATAAAATTCTTACTGTTTCTTGGGAAATACCGCCTCTCAGAATAACAGTTACTTTTCTTTTTTCTTCTGCACATTTAGGTTTACGAGTTGGTGAAGCTGCCCGCTCTGGCCAAACCTAAAGTTGTGCTTGCAATCACTGACCTGACTCTGCCGCTGGGGAGACGTGTAGCTGCCAAAGCCATCTCTGCTCTGTGAGGCTCGGGTTTAAATTTACCTCCGAAATAAATCGAGGCATCGACGGATTTATCTTCTGTTGGTGGGCAACAAAAGCCCAGCGGAGGGCTGAAAACAGTTTGCAAGAGCTCTGGACTCACATTGTTTTGATATTCTTTTATATATTTTTTTTCACACTTGTAAATAATTTTGGAATAAATAAAGAAATCAGACAGAAAATCTTTTTTGCTTGCCTGTGTTTATTGGTTGCATTTGTTTTGTGAGTTTTTGTGACACGTCATGGTGAAATGGCACCTCTGTGTTTTTTGAGTTTCAGTAACATGATGTGTGGCCGCTGTCGTTGTTGTCCCTTGAGTCAGAATGATCACATGCTAGCCAGCCCAACACATGACACCATACACAAGGCACTGTGGGTCATCTCTTGTCACAGTCATACACCGCTTGCAACACTTCTTAAAGGACATCCGTCTGGTTCAGTAGCGGAAATAATGACAGCAAAGTCCTTATTTCACCCTTTGTTGCACTTCTCTATTAGAGTAGTAACTTCACTGGAAGTTCAGGTTTCATTTTATTGTTTTGTATAATTATGCATGTTTTTTCACAAAGAGGTACAAATGTTTTTCAGAAAATGTTTTTTTTATTAAAAAATAAGAAAATACAGACATTATTATTATAATTTAAATAAAAATAATACAAAAATATACAATTTTACTCATGTTCTGCTGTTGGTATCGATTAACGTGCCACCAACACCTTAAATCAACTGTCAAATACCTTAATGTACTGCTTTACAGAGCATTAGTCAATTGTGTTAACATTTCCTTAGTTTTAACCTGTGAAAATAAATAGTCCAGTCCAGTTCTGTTAATAAATATATAAATATGAAATGCAAATACAAAAATAAATAATGCTTTCACAGATCAATAAATACCATAACGTACATTTTGGACATGAGCCAAAAGCAAAGTGTGACACTTTTTGGTCAGGACTCTGTCTCCACCTCTGTGCTGCGGTCCAGAGTCCTGAGGAAGCGGACCAGGTCCTGAATGTAAGACTGGAGGTCCACCAGAGTCAGGTGTGCTGCCACCTGAAATTCATAATCTGCTGGTAGATTTAAGGGCGCGGAGGGTTTGGTGGGGTGTGGTGAACCTTGTGGATGGACAATTTTTAACATCTAAAAAAGCAAAACAAAGAAAATGATTTTAAGCATTAAGAAGATGCAACATGCAAAAACAATTTGTCAGACTGGCTGCAATTTAGAAAAATTCTACCTCTTTGATCTGAATGGCGAGGTCTCGTACATCAGCCATTAGCTCGGTGACTCTATCTTTGTTTGCCAGCCTGGGGTAGTTTTTGAGGGAGCTCAGCAAGGCCCGGTACGTCTGCAGACCCTCATAGAGCTGTCTCAAACCGTCCTCCTTATGGAAGAGAGAGAGAGAAAAACAAACTGGTCATCGTGTCTGCTTTTAGACTCTCAAAGCATGATGACAGTTCACTCTCAAAGAATGCTTACCAAAGTGACGTTTTCTGACAGGGCTTTGATATGAGGAGCAGAGGGGATGCCAAGCCTGGACCTCATGATCTCAAACTGCGCATTATCTGTGGAGTTCAGCTGCAGAGTCTACGATAAAAGAAATAACATCAAATGGTTAAGGATGTATAGCAGCGAGGAATTCCAAAGCAAACACCAGTTGGAGGGTGGGGGGCAGTGAAGGCAACAGCAGATCGTTAAATTAATGCACTAAAATGTCACATCCTAAAAACTAGACCAGAAATATTTGTCCTGTGTTCTTACAAGATGCTGAGTCATTAAGAGACTTTTATTTGTGGTTTCAGAAATACTCAAGTAAAATCCAGCTGTGTAAAAACAACGAAAAACATGCCAGATGTTGATAACTCAGTTGCCTGTCATCTAAAAACAAAAAAACATTGACAGACATGTGCTGTTTCTTTTCCAGAGACTGTTCATATCAGTCATTACAGCTACATAAACGCATTTCAGATACAAACGCCGCTGACTGCAGGCTCGACCGCGCAGGCTCCTTACGCTGACAGCACATTATCAAACACAAGTCATGACGCAGAAGCTTTAAAGAAATCAGGAAAAACTGCATTAGTGTGTCTCACCTCCGTCTTAATGCAGGATTTGTGTGTTTCGGGGATCGAGAGAAGGATCTTCTCTGTCAACTGCTTGCAGTTCTGTACAATCTTTTGAAATTCCGGACCTTCAACAAGTGCGCTTCTTTCCGGCAGAGGTGCGCTGAGGGCGAACGTGGCCATGTAGCAAGAAATAGCGAAAACTGCAAAAAGGAGAAGCAAACAAAACAAAAATTAAAAAACAAACAAACAAGGCATCAGCGGCGTAACATAGAAACAACCCCGATATTCATCCAGTATGCTGTGTGGAGGCAGAGAACAAAAGGCAGAACAAAGCCTCCTCTCAACCGGTCCTCTCTGCTGCAGATTTGGGCATGTCCCCCCTTGGGGCTAAATATGTGCAGCAGTTGAGAACAGCCCGTGTAATGTGAAGCTTGAGCCAAAAGTAACTGCAGTAGATCAGCATGGTGGAAAAGAAAGCCCGAGCAGATGTTTTAAAAAGCACCAGATGTTAACACAGAATAAAAGCCCTATTAATGAATCAAAACATCTGGTGCGTCTAAAACAAACCTGCCTTTCTATCAGTCAGAGATGTCTGCTTGTCCAAAGGCTGATCCTTTGAATTTTTCTTGTAGCTTCCTCTACAGACTCTACAGAGTGTTTTCGCTCTCTGGGGACGATCAGCAGAGAGGAGAAATCAGTATTCTGTAAGGATTGCCTCACTACTCACCAGTCAGAATGTGCATGGCCTCTGCTAGGAAATGCCTTAAAGTATTGACCTCTAGTGAACACCATCAATGATTTATGGTACGCTTATATATGTAAAGCTGGACCGTGTGGAGGAAATTCCCCCAATTACTCATCCGATGGTGTTTCCATTAAAAATGTAAACGTTTGCACTTTAAAAAAAAAAAAAAAAATTAAATACAAATTGTTGGTCCCAATAAGTGAGTAGTAATTTAATCAAGTTCACACTAAAAAAAATGTTTTTTTGTTTTTTTTAAGCATTTTTAGCATTTTAGCAATAACAATAATAACAATAATAATAACAATAATAATAATAATAATAAGTATTATTATTACTATTATTAATATTATTAACAATAATAATAATAATACATTTAGGAACAAAATAAAACAAAAAATAAATAAATAAAACACTTGTTTTAAAAAATATGAAAAATGTTTGAGTCACATTCAAATATAAAATAACTAAATTGAAAAACGGACACAATATGAAATAAATCTAAATAAATAAATAATAATAACAGTAATAATTAAAAAGTAAATTCAAAAAGTCGTAATGAAATTTGTTAAATGGATGGACCTGATTTTTATTTATTTATTTATTCATTTACTTATTTATTGTAACAAAATATTTTTTTAAAAGAAAGAAAGAAGAAAGAAATTTGACAGTTAAGTCATACAATTCCAGAATTACGTTTTAGGAAGTGAAATTTCCTTAATTACTGTCGTCCTACAGATTGTGCAAAACTGTCATATAGTAAAATATAAAGGACAGAAAGAAGGAAACGGAAATGAAAAAGAAGTCAGTGAATTATTGCCTTTTGAAACACTGGATTTTTGGGATGAAAGTGTTCTTTAGTTTTCTAATGTTGTCAGTCGTCATTTTGCCTGTTAGTCCATTGAGTCATCTGATGACGTACCTTTAAAAAAAAAAAATCTATTAATAGACTGAAACATGTGACATCTCATCCCAGGATCAAACACCTGTCAATAAGGGAGCAGCCGAAAAGTAGCTGCCTAATCTGTCAAGAGATGAAGTCACACGTAGCTGCACCCCCACACTGTAAACGTTGTTTTTAGATTTTTATTTATTTATTTACTGTGGTCGCTGTTGCGGTATTTAGGATGATCAAAGTTTTTCCTCTTGTCATTCACACAGCTGCCCACTGATTTGGCGTTAGTGACATCACCGGATTTTGCCTCGTCTGCAGAGAAGAAGCGAAAAGGCTTACAACAGATACAACAGTCCCCCCTGGTGGGCTCGTCTTAGTATATGTATTGAACACTTGCCATGCATCGGTAATATATTAAAAGAAAATATCACGATTCAATACGTTCTCCACATTAAAGGCTACAGTTATGGAATTTAATGCACTTAATTCCAGTGTGTGATCTATCTAATTATAATAATCATATATATCTCATCGTTTTTTCTTCTTTTTTATTATTTATTTATTTATTTTACAAGCTATTTCAACTGTACATGTCCCTAAGTAGTGATATTTACATGATGGGGTGTGGAGGAGGAGAAGGTCCAGTAAGTGCTGGGGGTCATGTAGCATCTGGGAGTTGCAGGTGAAGAGAAGGATTTTATAGGAGACACTGGAGTTGACTGGGAGCCAGTGGAGGTGTACATGGGTGGGTTGCAGAAGTTACCAGGACTGAGAGAGGGTAAGAAGTCTGTCAGCTGAGTTCTGAACACACTACAGTCTCTCTGGGGCTTTATTAAGCAGACCTAACAACACACCAGTGCAGGAGTCGAGCCAGAAAGTGATGAAGAAAGGACTGAGGGTTTCATCTGCATAGTCTGATGGGTGTCTGGAAATGTTCCTCAGGTGGTAGAAGGCTTTTATGTGAGTGTTAATTGTATCATGTATTATTTTAGGGTTTTTTTGTTTGTTTGTTTGTTTTATTGCCAACCTGATCCGTAAATACATGTTGTTTATCCTTTATTTAAGAGTGCTAAAGGTGGATCTGGTCACCACTTCCTCTGAAGTCATCATGGCATGATGATGAAGTTCTTCTGAATTAATCATGATTACAGCATTAGGAATTCATTTCAAGTCATTACTGGCTTGGGTTTTAGTCTATTACATGTTCTGCAGACCTGACCACAAAAAAGGCGGGAACATTATTACAACTCATGAATCATTAAGATTTGATGTAGCAAGGCATGTGTGAGATAGTTCCCTCATGTACATTTCAGCTCTATCACAAGATTTTATGTTAAGTCATGTTTAAAGTCATACTCCCTGTATCCTTACTGCAGACTGTTGTTTGCACAATCAGACAATAAAACGTAAAATTATTGGTCAGTTTCATTGCCTTGGTTATCAGGTGTGACTTGGAAACATGTCTAAACATCATAATCAGAGTGTAATCACCTCGCAGGTCAGTCCTGTGTCTCCTCTGTAGCCGTCGATAGGATCGGTTCTCTTCCCGCTCTAACATGAGGCACTTGATCAGTCGGTGTAGCTCTGATATGTGGCCATGCTTGATGGGTTGTGAAATAAAGCTGTCAAATCTGATCCCTGAAATCTACACTGCTCTGATCTCCAATCATTCCTCTCCGTGAAAGGAGGCATTCATTCACTGCTGTAATCTCTCTCTACGGCCCAGCAGCGACCTTGTTGGAAACATGATTTGGTTGTAACAGAGGAACAATGTGCTGGCCCTGCACTGGGCTAAGCAGAGAAGGGTTGAACAGTCGTGCCCTGCGTAGTGGAAGAGGATAGATACCTGATGCATGAGTTGATTACACTTTGTATAATATGTCAGTTGTGCCTGAAAGCCTTGTGGTATGGTGAACTTTGAATTATGTTGACAAATGCTCAGCTCTTAATGTAAACGCTGGATCCACGGATGAATCTGGACATACTGTGGCGGTTAAGATGGAATTTTAATTGGCATGTGAAGACATGAAACAGATAGTTCTACCTTAAATGCCTTGAAACCCCTCCAGAAAATGATTAAAGGGCACGATTACCATAAAATGTACAAATAGTTAAAGGAATTAAAGGAAAGGGGTTTTCTTAATATTTTAGTCTTATTCCTGGGTTCAGAAAGCTCTTCTGAATGTAATGATCCTTAAAACAGAATCATTCGCCACTGTGCTGAAAATCCTCATCTGTTTCTGTATTTGTTTTTCCACTAAAGCTAAGGCCTGTGCACTGATTTTCTATAAAGACGGTTGTGTTTAATCAGTTGTTACCGGTAACTGCTTACAAAAGCCAGTTTTAAAGATTTTCATTTCATGTGGATTGAGAAAGATGGTTTGTGGAATCTCAGCCCGTCTGGGTAGATATGCGTTGAAACTAACGAGGTAGGTTCCTCAGAAAAAAGATGTCTGAAGAGGAAAAAAATCATGTTGGGGAAGTGTTTTAGTGTCAGTCACGTCACAGACATGGTGATGATGATTATATCAACATGAGTAATTCTGACTTTGTCATGACAAAATGTGTAGCTGTCTGTACACACGAACTATGAGGATTTGGTCTATGACTTCCTGTTATTGCATAGACCACAAGTCATTTGTTAATCTCCATCCTGCAAATGAACCATTAGCTTTTCATTATGTTTTGTTGGGCAAAAAAGAGAAATAAATGTGTTACATCTAACATGTCAAACAAGAGCATTCAGAGAGCCCAACTCTCCCTGAAGGACCCGATTTCACCTCTTTAAATCAGTTCGAGCTGATAACCAACGGGATGATAAACAACAATTTATATTCGACAATTGTAACCAAAACCTGTATGAACTTCATCACTAGGACCAAGTTTGTGTCATCAACACAGATAAACCTAGTTTTTTCCATTTGGTTGTGGTTGGCCCAATCTACAAAAGGTTTTAATGAGCTAGTTTATATAGGCTAAAGTTGAAATAAAGATCATAATCCAAGGCTCTGGTAGTGGGAGAGGGGGTCATCTGCAAATCAGAAGGTTGCTGGTTTGATCCTTGGCTGTTCTAGTCTGCAGGCTAAATATCCCTGGTCAAGAAACTAACCACTGCTTGCTCTCCGATGCATCCATCAGAGTATGAATGTGTGTGAATGTTAGATAGAAAGCACTTACATAGAAAAGGCGTGTGTGAATTGGTGAATAAGGCAAGCTGTAAAAACCACTTTGAGTGCTCAGAGTGGAAAAACGCTATACAGCAGGGGTAGGCAACCTTTCAGATGGCGAGTGCCATTTAAAATTTCCTCAGAAGTCAGTGTGCCATACGATTGCATTAGCAATAAATTTAATAACGCTCTATATGAACAGTTACACAATATATAGAACCACTTTATAGAATTATATTTGTTTGCAGATGTTGGCAGCTATCAGCGAATAGCTATCAGCTATTTTGAAACAAAAAAAGACATCTTTTATTCATAACAAGAACTCCATAACAGCAAATGAACTGTACAACAGAAAATACAAATGCTATTTATGGTCTCCTCGCAACAATGATAAGAAAAATAAACTAAGCTAATATGGCATACAGAGATACACATGTTAATGTGATCTCTGGTCTCCCACTTAGAGACACAGGTCTCCGAGTGTCCAGCATTCAGACGGCTACCTGAGGACACTCTTCATGTGAGAGAAAATCTGCTCACACAGACATGTAGAGCCAGATACTGTCAATAAGGCCTCTGCAATGTTCTGAAGACAGTTAAACTTGTCAGGTAGTGATGTCCAGCAGGTGAAAATGCAAGCTCCATGAACACACACCTCTATGGATTCCAACTGCTTCGATGTCGCATTAACTGGCATTAACTCAGCCAGACAAATCTAGCTGCTCATTAAAGATTTCTGGTTTGTTCAGAAAATAAAACATTGGTCCACACACCTGAAAGTCCCAAAAATGCATTGTGTCTCGAGTCTATGGATGTATCCGTGTATTTCCATGGTGCTGATGCTGTGCTGAGCAGAAAGCTCCTGAAGCTTTTGAAGTGTTGGAATGTGGAAAGCTAACAATGTCCCTCTCACCAGTTACAAGTTATTTTTAGCCAATTACAAGTTCAATCTGGTAGT